CATACCCAAATAGATGAAAAACAAAGTAAAGAAAATACCATACCAACAATAGACATGTTTTGACAGAGACAAAAAAAGGTTTACAGGTTGACAACATCAAGCACTGTCGACTTTGCAGAGATATAAGACCAAATATGTTAATAAAGTTACTGGAGAGATATATGTTTATCTCCCTGTATCTACCTATATATATTTTTAATAAAGTTGTTCAAAATATTTTGAAAGTCTAATAGATATGAAAGAAAAAAAAATATATGAGTTTAGCTCTTTATTCTTCTAATATTTTATTATATAACAATGAATAATGAATTTTTGATGGTTGTGCTTATCACCGAAAAAAAAAAAAATCACATCATATTAGAATTCTAGTTGAATTTTTTAAATTGAATAGAAAAGAAGAATGTACTGGCAAGTCATAGTGATAAAGTTTATCTAGTAAAAATTTTGAAAGTCATAGAGATAAATTTTATCTAACTAATATATAGTGATAAAATTTATCTAGCAAAATTTTTGGAATATTAGTGATAAATTTTATCTAACAAAAAATTTGGAAGTCATAGAGATAAAATTTATCTAGTTAATATTTTGTGAGCATAATTGTCTTTAGTTTAATAATTAGAGGTGAAATAGGAAAAATAAAGTTGTTCAAAATATTTTGAAAGTCTAATTAGGGGTGCAACTCGGGCTGGTTGGACAATCAATCCTAGCCCAACCCTAGCCCTAACCCTAACCCTATCTCAGGTAGGAAAACTCAATCCGAGCACTCTCCGAGTTTAATTTGGACGAGTTCGGGTTAAATTCGGGCCACTTTCGGGTTATTTTACAAGTTTAATTCGGATAAAGCCCAAAATAGACTTGTTGTTCTAAACCTAATACACATATTACATAATATTCACCTAAATTAACAACCAATAACTTCAATCAAGTTTTTAACGAGAGAGGTTAAGAGAACGAGAGAGGCAAAGAGAACGAGAGAGGCAAAGAGAATGAGAGAGAAAGAGAACGATATAACAAAAATGAAAAATCAGTACTAATGCTATATATATATATATATATATATATAATTATTTTTTTTTAATTTATCGGGTTTGGGTTGAACTCGAGTTCACGAGACCTTAACCCGAGTCCAACCTAAATTAAATTCGGGTTGAAATTTTTTGACCCAAGCTCAACTCAAGTATTAAAAACTCTTGCCCAAGCCCTAATTTTTTTGGGTTGGATTCGGGTTGAAATCGGGTTGACCAACCCAAGTTTCACCCCTAAGTCTAATGGGTATGAAAGAAAAAAAAATATATGGGTTTAACTCTTTACTCTTCTAATCTATTATTATATAATAATGAATAATAAATTTTCGATGTCTGTGTTTATATCCTAAAAAATAGCAATTTTTTTTCACATCATATTAGAATTCTAATTGAAATGTACTGGCAAGTCATATTGATAAAATTTATCTAGTAAAAATTTTGGAAGTCATAGAGATAAATTTTATCTAACTAATATATAGTGATAAAATTTATCTTGCAAAAATTTTGAAATATTAGTAATAAAGTTTAACCAACAAAAAATTTGGAAGTCATAGAGATAAAGTTTATCTAACTAAAATTTATCTAGCTAATATTTTGTGGGCATAATTGTCTTTAGTGTAATAATTAGAGATCAAAAGTTTTTCACAGATGCTGATATTTATAAGTAGTATAAATAATATAGATATAGATAGTATTCTAATTAAATTAGGAGATTACTTTCTAATTTTATTAAGAGATTGACTTTTAATTCAATTAAAAAATTATTTTATAACTAAATTAGAAGATTGTCTTCTAATTAAACTAGGAGACTGTCTCCTAATCAACATATTATAAAATTGTCTTCTAATTAAATTAGGAAATTGTGTTCTAATCAAATTAAAAAATTGTCTTTTACTTAAATTATCATATTGTTTTATAACTAAATTATGAGATTGTTTTCTAATTTCTTGAGCAATATTATTCTAATTAAATTAGGAGATTGTCTCCTAATTAAATTATGTTTTTTTGTTCTAATAAAATAAAAATTCGATTCTTAATAAAACACGACGTAAACTGAGATCCTATTTTAATTAGGATTAGGATCAAAGAATTTTAATGAGATTCAGTCTGTTAATTAGACTCAAAATTAGAAATTTGATTTTCAATCATATGCCACCCAGACTAGAAACACATTTGATTAGGTTTCGAACTAAAGACTCCTAATGAGATTAAGATTTCTATCTAAACAAAAATTGAGAATTTGATTCTTAATAGTATTCCACCCAAACTAAAATCTTAGTTTAACTAGGATTCTAAAGAAAGGATCTTAATAGGATCAATCGAAATAGACTCCTAGTCTGATCCCAATTAAAAGATCAACCAAAATAGACTCATAGTTTCACTAGCACTTTGATTATAGAGTCCTAATAGGATTAGGACTCTATAATATTAATTGATTAATTTTAACATTATTAGTTTTAATTTGATTAAAATTAAAGTAATCCTTAATAGTGAACAAAATAGCAATCCCAAGATATTTGTGTTATAATTAGAATAATCACTTGTTTTCTTTTATTCATGCAATATGATTGGATAGATGTGAGAATGATCATGGACTTATGAGATTGGTTTGAATGCAATGTGATTTTATTTTTTTGTAGGTGTTCATCTTTTTTCATGAGTAGAAATGTATTTGGCCTATTTTATGAGCAACTAAATGGGTGCTCCTAAGCAACAGTAAGGACAGGGGCAATTGAAGGCAATTTGAAGCCTAAAACGGAAATACTAAATAAGATTTTTTTTTTTAACTTTTAGTATTAATTAAATTTTTATCAAAATTAATTTATTTTTAATTTTTTATGTGAGAAAGAGATATAAGATTTCATTTTTGCAGAGTAAGAGGTTTCAAGTTTTGTTTTTATTTTTACTAGAGAGAGAGAGAATGGGTGAGAATAAATATTATTTGATTTTTGAATACTCTTTTATTTTTAAAATTTTTGACTTTTAGGTTTCTAATGTTATGGTTGTCAAAATTATTATACTAAAAATTTTAATTGGACTTAATTTTTTAATTTTTTGTGAACTAGTAATGTATCTAAAAATATAGGACCTTCAAAAAATATGTGGTCTAAAACACAACCTTTATTTTCAAGGAAAATTGTGAAAACGTACACATTACCCTTTAAGCGTACACATTGCTATTAAGAGGTATACTTTTGTTGAATTATAATTTTTTCTCTTACTAAATTGCCATTTTCCTTTATTAATGAGAGACAAATATGACAGTTCTATAGAGATTCAGTTTCATAATTTTATGGTACATCATTTTTGAATTTTAAATTACCTATTCATCTATAATTGAACAACTGTTTATTAAAACATTCATTCCATAATTATTTCTCTATTATTTAAACCGAAAATATTTGTCAATGACACCCTCCCGCCAATCAGTGTCATCATATTACAAACCAAAATGTCACAGTGATACCTTCTAATGACAATGGTACCAGCAATGACACATTGTTTATCAGCCAAAATTCACATTGTTACCATTCAAAATTCACACTGTTACCATCCAAAAAGTCTTACTACATTTATATAATTTTTTTTATTTTTTTTATAAATCATAACGAGGAATAAATGTTTTCACCTTATATAATACTATTGATTGTTACAAGTATTTTTTTTTTCCATGAATATTTTAAATTTAAATTTAGTACAGTGGTACATGTCACATTGACATAGTGCTACACAACTATGTCACAATGCAACAAACTAATGTCACACTACTACAAGCTAATGTCACACTGATACAAGTCAATGTCACACTAGAAGGGGTGTCAATGATGTTTTTGATACTAGAGAGAGCGTCCTTAAAGATATAGTAAATTAGAAGGGGTGTGATTGAAATTTTTCCAAAAAATCATTACACCTTTTGAACGCTACCTCCATGGTCTGCAAGTCTTAAAGAAGATGAATCCTCTCAGAACCCTCCTTTTGCATGTTTAGATTCATGGTAGTTTCTACAATTTACGACCCACCTTTGCGGTCCACCTCAACATTGAGAATGTTCGAAACATTGTGCTTCAAGTCTTTAGAGAGTTTTGCGATCTTGATGAGTCTTCGTGATCGGAAACAAATGGATTTGAACTTCATTGATACTTTGATCAAGAGTTGATTTTTCAATAAGAGAAAATCGTTTGGATATATTAGAATTAGGACGTTTTGAAAAGAATAGAGGTTTTAAAGAAATTTTCTTATCAATTTTGGAATAATGGAGGTTTCGGTGATATTGAAGGAGTTTTATGGATAACAATTGATATTCTTGATATTTCGGTTGTGGAAGTAAAAATATAGGAATCGGTTCTCATTTTACTAAAGGGGGTATTTTAGAGATTTGTTAGAAGATTTTGTACTTTTTAATCTATATTTTTAAAAATGATACTTTTTGCCCTATAATTTCTAAAAGGGCACCGGCCACTTAAAACCCTATTTTCAACAGAGTTGAGCCGGCCTGGGTAAGGATCCGTGCGTTATCATTTATCTGCTGGAGTTTTTATGAAAATTTGCAAAGTGGTCCGTGCGTTAATACTCGAGCTTGGTCTTAGCATAAAATAGAGTAAATCTGTAGGGTATATTGCATTAAACTGATGATAAGAAATTTGTTTGAATGAAAGAGTCGAGAGGAAAATTCTTCATTTTCAATGCAATTCAAGCCAATTACATTCTAATAGCTGTGTTTGAGCCCATTATCATTTCATAGTTTTCTCTATTCTTGAGTCATTATGAATAAAATTGGTTGCACGCAGATTGCCTTGATTAAACCAAATTTTCTATGGTCAAGGAATTGAACTTGACATCTATGAATTTACGTCTCGCTCGTTGTTTCAACCAACGAACTAAACCCAAAAAAATCATCATCTTTTTTACTTTTGTGAGACATAATATATGACAATAAAACTGAATGCTTTCAAGTATTGAAACACACACACAGTTCTTTACCTGAACACCACTCAAGCCTCATGTCACTCACTACAAGACTGCGCACAAAGAAGACACCACTCAAATGTTACAATTGCACTGTACTTACACTCTCTACTATCACACATTCAGATGAACCACTGATATTCTTTTATGGCAACAAGCCCAATGGTCCAGACCACTGGTCCTCTACAAGGACAAACTCTAGAGTATATTCATGTCCACAGAACATGCCATTCTAATCCTCACACTAAACTTAAACAATCCATTTTGTTTGTTCTTCTTCGACTTTGCATAGGAGCCATTTAAGTATTAGTGCTGTAAAAGTTTGTTCTTGACAGATTGAAGCTCATGGACAACATCACTTATTTTTATCCGTTCTTGTGGTGACTCCACGGAGCAAGCCACTCCTATCCTCACAACCGAAACCAAACACTCCTTTATTTTGTTTGCCCTATTTTGACATTTTCTGGTCATATTTTCGGCCGCTTCTACGTCTTCTTCATTATCATTTAGAAGCACTTGATCCAAGATCTCAATCGCATTATCTGGTATGGCCATCCTAACAAAGTTATGAAGGTTAATTCCATCCTGAAACATACCGTCAGTTGGCCTCCTTCCTGTCATCATCTCCAATAAGCAGATGCCATAGCTGTAAACATCTCCGTTGGTTGATATTTCACTTCCGAGACCATATTCTACATTAGTAAGGTATTGAATTAGGTAAAGAGAAGTTCAGGCAGGCTCTTGAGCAAAAAAGTTTGACAGCTATGATGATATTGGGATAACCATTTGATAGAAAAATATTAAGTATTGCGGTTACCTGGAGCCGTGTACCCAATAGTTCCTCTTATTCCATTTGAACTGCTTTGAACTGTATTTGTGAGTCTGGGATGAAACCTTGCCAATCCAAAATCTCCGATATGGGCAACCATATCATGGTCAAGAAGTATATTGCTAGGCTTCAAATCACAATGAATGATTGGTTGCTGGCAATGGTTATGAAGATAGTCAAGTGCGCAAGCCACATCAACAGCAATGTTTATTCTTTGAAGAAAACTTAAGCTTGGAATCCCATTCTGTGCATTATTCGTTTCTGTACTCGAGTGCAACCACCTTTCTAGACTACCATTAGGCATGAACTCATACACCAAAGCTCTAAAATCATTACCTTCAAAATCAACACTTGAGCAAGACGTTATGATCTTTAAAAGATTTCTATGTCGAATATTTCTCAAGGTTTCACACTCAGCCATGAAACTCTTGGAAGCTCCATGGTGCAAAAGGTTAAGAACTTTTACAGCAACAGTCGCTCCTTCCTGATCAAAGATTCCCTTATACACATAACCAAAACTACCCGTACCAATCAAATTGTCTGAAGAAAACCCATTGGTTGCTTTGAGGAGCCTTTTGTAGGATACTCTTAGGAATTGTTCCTCCACCTGTGTTCCTATAGATGGAGCTTTTCTTTTCTTCTTTACCCAACAAGATATGAAAAATGATATCAAGGTTATCCCAACAAGAATAGAAGCTACCGAGATAATTAATATATGTGCAAGAGACATCTTCACTTCCTTTGATTTTTCAATGGCGCATTTAGGTAGCTTTAGTTCAAAAATACCACCACAAATTCTACTATTGCCAGCAACTGATATAACGCTTGCGTTTGTGAAAACTCCTGTGATTGGCACCTCACCTTCAAAATTATTAAACGATAAATTCAAGCTTGTCAAAGCAATTTGCCCCAAGAATTCTGGTATTTGTCCTGTTATGTTGTTGCGAGAAAGATCAAAGACTCGGAGGCCTTTCAAAGACCTCAATGATGCAGGAATTGGCCCGCGAAAAGAATTACCCTCCATATGTAAAAATTCAAGGCTAGTGCATTTGCTCAGGCCACTTGGAATGTCACCAGACAAGTTATTTTCAGATACATCCAATGCAACTAAGTTTATGAGGTTATCAACCTCCGAAGGTAGGGATCCAATTAGATGATTATGTGCGAGACTCACTTCAATGGATAGAGATGAAAGTCTAAAAATTTCTTTAGGTATGATTCCACTAAGATTGTTTTGGGAAAGATAGAGAATCAGCAAGTTTTGGCAGTTTCCAAGACTTAAGGGTATGGTTCCGTCTAATCTATTGTCCTCCAAGTAAAGCTCAGTTAACAATGTTAAGTTTCCAATAGAATTAGGAAGTTTTCCCGAAAAATTGTTCCCTCTAAGAGCAAATCTTTGTACTTTTTGGAGACCGCCGATGGTAGTGGGAATCGTACCGGTGAATTGATTATCTTGTAGAAATAAGGTCCCTAAGTTAATTAGGTTACCTATTGTAGAAGGGAGAGTTCCATTCAAAAGATTTACACCAAAATTTAGAAAGAAGAGGTTGGTCGAGAGATTACCAATAGACTTTGGCAGCACCCCACTGAAGAAGTTACCTGACATCTCCAAATATTTCAAATTGCTACAGTTGACCATAGAATTGATGAAGTTCATTTCATCAGGTTCCCCACTTCCGAAATTATTCTCTGACAATAATAACATCCAAATGTTCTTTAGGCCTTCAAAATTGACTCTTATTTTTCCAGTAAAATAATTCTCTTGCATGTCAAGGGTGTCCATCTCTGTTAAATTGGACACAGAGAGTGGGAGTGGTCCAGTAAATAGATTGGTATGTAGTTGAAGTAGCTGAAGATGAGGAAACATCATACCAATGCCTGGCTGGAGATTACCGTGCAGTTGATTCTCACATAAAGAGAGAACCGTTAAGGCGGAAAGATTATAAATGGAAGAAGGGATAATACCAGAAAGGTTATTGCCACACAATGCAAGTTCTTTCAAGTTTCTCATTTGGCCGAAACCATCTGGAATACTTCCCCCCAATGGATTGTGAGTTGTAGACAACTTTTCTAAAGATGTAAGGTTTACGATGAAGGATGGGATCCCTCCTGTCAAATGGTTAGCTTGAACCAAAAAATCAATAAGCTTTGACAAGGAACCAAGCTCTTTTGGAATTTTTCCAACTAGATTATTATGACTAACAGCGAGTTGCGTGAGTTCAGAGCAACGGGATAGGGTGGCTGGAATTTCTCCTTCAAAGCTGTTATTCATCAATAATAAATGTCGAAGCCTGAAAAGACGACCAAGTTCCGAAGGGATTTGACCTTTAAAGGTGTTGTTGGAGAGCCACAAGTCCCGAAGGAAGCTGAGGTTCCCAACATAAGGAGACAAGGTGCCCACTAAGCCTCTGGAACTTACATCTAAGAGAATGACTCTTCCGTGCCGGTGACCACATGTAACACCTTCCCACTCACAGAAATGGAAAGAATCATTCCAAGAGCTCACAACACCTTGAGGATCATATGTGATCCTTTCCTTGAAGGCCTGCAGGGCTAGTCGATCCATCTCGTTTCCACCAACGGTCCTAAAGGCAGTGGATGTGGCTGTGGCAGCAGCAGTAACAGTGAGGAGCGTTGTGATACACAGCATTAATAGAGTGTACATTATTTTTTGAACATGAACTGAATGGAATAATGATGATGGAGATGGACTCATTTTTTTGAAAGCTTTTTCTGGGTGTGAGCTTTGCCTTGGGTTCAATGCATTATATAGGGACTGAATAATGGGGCCTGCATGCGAGTCTGTCCTTAAGTCATTGTTCACACGATAGTACAACTCCTCCTACAAACTTTTTCTAGACAAAGAATGTGACCTAATCTTATTAATCTCCACTTATGCTACTATGTTGAGTCATTTCGTTGCCGTGTAATTCAAATTGGATAATATTTGTTTAATTCTGTCTCACAATGTATTTAAATAGGAATTCATAATATACTTATTTTTCCTGTACTATTTGAATGACGTCAATCTGTACTATTGGTCTATTTTTAATTTTAAGAGGAGATCGTATTGGATATGAGAACTATTGTGTTGTCCTGACTGAGGGATTGATAGCATTTTGGAACTAAAACCACTAAATAATTATTTGAACTATTTGAATGCAAAATTTGACTTAAATTAGTATTATTCAACTCTTTAGTATGCAAGAGTGAAGAAAATTGAAAGAATAGGATGTTAGAAATGTTGCCTTAACGCATTGTACCCAAAAACATTGGACATATAAAAGACAAATTACACTTTGGCTCCCTCAATTATATTGGTTTTTTTTTTTACATTGTCACGTTAACTATAAAATTTTTCACATTACACTCATAAACTGTGTTATTGGTTTCACTTCACCCCAATTATTAACGTCCTAAATTTGAGTGAAATTTATTTTGTTTTTCCCCCAAACCAAGTGATTGTTTTCCACGTTGTTGAGATACGTTAGTAATTCTCGTCAAAAAAGATTATAGACATTTTCTGTTTTAGGGTAATGTAAAGTAATTTAAATAGTTGAAGGGCAATGTGAAAAATTCAAAACTTCAAGGGGCAAAGTGAAATCAAGTAAATAGTTAAGGGGATCAAATTTTAATTTACTCAAAAATTAAATTTGTAATATCTGCATGTGAAATTCTATCTAATTTTTTTTTAACTACTAACTTTGGATTAGTGAAGGATCCACTTGAATGTAATTGGAATTGTAAATGGATAGGATATATTATGTGAGTATCTACAAGATCTAAATTATCAATGACTCTCTAAATACATTAGAAATTCAACTGAGAGCGGCTCCCTTGACCGGAACATTTAGAAGAGCTCTTGTATCATTAAACTATCTGTAGCACTCATAACTACAACTCCAACTCGATTGGGTCCATGAACAACTCGGACTTGGCTTGAATTAAAACTCATTCCTTTATTAGTCGTATTATGAAGATTGAAATATGATATTTTTTAATTCTATTTTATAATGCATTTGGATGTCAAATTATATATGGGATTTCAAGATATGTAGATTATTTTAATGGCATTAAAATAAGGGGATTATGAGGTGAAACCTGCTACTAATTAATATACTATTTTGTCATTAACAATGAATTGAATTGGGTAGTAATCGGAGCATTTGGGTCGAAACCACTTCCTCTATTATTAAATTAGTGAACTCACAAGTATTATCTAACTCTTAATCCCAATGATAGCAATCTTATCCTTCATTTAATTTAACTTGACAACATGCTAGTCAAAAGATGAAATAAAGTTGAAAGCAGGATGTGAACACAGAATAATGGGCTAAAATGTTGTGATTGATGTGGGTGTTGAGTCTCTTGACGAAGACTTTTTCTAAAAGTGTCTCTTGTACCCTGTTGGCTTGGGGGAAAAAAAAACTCTTAGACCCTAAAAAATAACACCATTTTTTTTTTTGTTGGCTANCTGTGTTATTGGTTTCACTTCACCCCAATTATTAACGTCCTAAATTTGAGTGAAATTTATTTTGTTTTTCCCCCAAACCAAGTGATTGTTTTCCACGTTGTTGAGATACGTTAGTAATTCTCGTCAAAAAAGATTATAGACATTTTCTGTTTTAGGGTAATGTAAAGTAATTTAAATAGTTGAAGGGCAATGTGAAAAATTCAAAACTTCAAGGGGCAAAGTGAAATCAAGTAAATAGTTAAGGGGATCAAATTTTAATTTACTCAAAAATTAAATTTGTAATATCTGCATGTGAAATTCTATCTAATTTTTTTTTAACTACTAACTTTGGATTAGTGAAGGATCCACTTGAATGTAATTGGAATTGTAAATGGATAGGATATATTATGTGAGTATCTACAAGATCTAAATTATCAATGACTCTCTAAATACATTAGAAATTCAACTGAGAGCGGCTCCCTTGACCGGAACATTTAGAAGAGCTCTTGTATCATTAAACTATCTGTAGCACTCATAACTACAACTCCAACTCGATTGGGTCCATGAACAACTCGGACTTGGCTTGAATTAAAACTCATTCCTTTATTAGTCGTATTATGAAGATTGAAATATGATATTTTTTAATTCTATTTTATAATGCATTTGGATGTCAAATTATATATGGGATTTCAAGATATGTAGATTATTTTAATGGCATTAAAATAAGGGGATTATGAGGTGAAACCTGCTACTAATTAATATACTATTTTGTCATTAACAATGAATTGAATTGGGTAGTAATCGGAGCATTTGGGTCGAAACCACTTCCTCTATTATTAAATTAGTGAACTCACAAGTATTATCTAACTCTTAATCCCAATGATAGCAATCTTATCCTTCATTTAATTTAACTTGACAACATGCTAGTCAAAAGATGAAATAAAGTTGAAAGCAGGATGTGAACACAGAATAATGGGCTAAAATGTTGTGATTGATGTGGGTGTTGAGTCTCTTGACGAAGACTTTTTCTAAAAGTGTCTCTTGTACCCTGTTGGCTTGGGGGAAAAAAAAACTCTTAGACCCTAAAAAATAACACCATTTTTTTTTTTGTTGGCTAGATTTGTAACTACTTTTTTTTGGGTATTACAATCAAGGGTGTATGGGCTAACATAAGAATACTTCAACTAATCATTTTTTCAGTGTGGTCAAATTTAAACCATTAACGTTGGAACTAAGAAATTCGTGAAAAATAAATTCATTATGACTTGACTCTAAAAAAATTGTCAAATTTTGAATTTGGGACGTTTGAAATTCCTAATCATTCTTGTCTCCACTAGGCTACCATTGGGGTTAATCTACATTTATATTTTGATCCATAGATTTTATATATTAATCTGTTTGGTAACTGGTAATTGACATAATTACACGTTCTTTTAGATAGATATTAGAAGTATAAAGTCACTTAAAAGCCACGTATATATCAATTATATATCCCCCTCCCCCTCTCCCTCCCCAAAAAATATATATATATATCAATTATACACAAGTTTTATGCAGGTGAGACACAGTAAATTTTTTTCTTAATTTCTTGATGCAATCTCTAAGGATTACCTATAAACATGAGGATAAACACTATAAAGTTATACCTTTACTATGTTGTCCTGAACAAGGGATTGAATTGAGTTGGATTGAGCGTATTTTAGGACAAGCGACATTAAAACAACAGGATAGTTTGAACTATCCAAATGTAAAATTTGACTTAAATAACTATTATCCAGCTCTTTATCCCACCATAACTAATATGATAGAATAAACATCATTCTTGTGGCTCATCTAGTTTTGTGTTTTCCAAGTTGGGAGTAGGCAAGATTTCCTAATCCAATTCCTTTTTTCCCCACGGCAACCATTCTTGTCAGGGTACAAGAGTGACGAAAGTTGAAAGGATAAGAGGCAAGAAATGTTGCGTTCACACCCGTATTGTACCAAAAAAAAGAATAAATAAAAGGATAAATTATAGCTTGACCCCCTCAATTATATTTTTTTCACATTTTCACATCAACTATCATATTTTTCACATCACACCCTAAATCATGTTATTGATATCAGATCGGCACCATTATTAACTTCCTTTACAAATTTGAGTGCAATCTATTTTATTTTGTCCCCAAACTTTGTGATTGTTTTCCACTTTGTCTCGACAGGTTAACACTTCTAGTCCAAAAAGTTTGTAGACATTTTGTGTTTAGGGAAATGTAAATTAATTCAAGTAGTTGAGGGGGTTATGTGAAAGTTTTAATAGTTTAAATGGTAAAGTGAAAGTGAGTCAATAGTTAAGAGGGGTCAAATTATAATTTACCCAAAAATAAAATTGGTAATATCTTCGGCTATCTTTTAGTTCCTAAATGCCATGTATTGCGAGAGCATACCAATTCCTTACTTTACTTGGATACCTATCGGACATGGAAGTAAGAGAGAATGGTTTTTCTTCATAGGACCTATGAAAGAATAGTTCAATGATTCTGTGTTTCAAGCAGAACAATACGGGTTTGATACATGCATTATATATAGTTCTAATTTTGTTCGGGTAACTCGAATCGAGTTGATTCCTCTCTCATACTAAATTTCATCTATTTTTTTTTAACTCCTCACCCTGCATTAGTAAAGGACCCCCTTGAATGTAATTGAGATTGTGAATGAATAGAATATGTTGTGCGAGAAGACTTAAATTACTATTATCTAGTAACTCTTTATCCCACCATAACTAATGGGATAGAATAAACATCATTCTTGTCCTCATTTAATTTCATGTTTTATACATTTGAAAGCTAAGATTCCAATCCCATCCCTTCTTTTTTTCCACAAAGCAACCTAGTCACAAGATTGAAGAAAAGTTGAAAGGTGAATGAGAAGACCGAATAATAGACTGGAAATGTTGCGTTTGACGACGAAGACTTTTTGTATCACTCTCCCTCGACGAAGACGTTAATATTTAATTGTGTGTTTGGTAGGGTAGATGAAAAAATAGAAAGATGGAAAATGAGAGTTATATACTTTCTATCTTTTAAGGAATGAATCTTTTTTTTCTTTTTTTTTGTGTTTGGTAGGAGATATGATTTCACTTTAATAAAAAATTATACTTTTCATAATATCATTTATTTGGTAGGCCTGTTATATTCTAAAATTCAAAATCAACCTTATCATTTGAATATCTAATATAATACAAGTATTTATATAATGATCTTTATATCCAATGTAATACGTCACTTGAAAAAAATTATTTAAGTGCCCAATTGAGAGAATATTTTTAGTCATATTTGGATTCCTATGGGATGTAGGTGTAATATTTTAAATGTGAAGGATCTAGGTGATTAAGTGATAAGCATGAAGGAGTTTAGGTGTAATTTATCTATTTAATTTTAGGCGGTAAATTGACAGCTGTTAGTTTTAGGTGCACATTAACACAAATTTATATCTTTGAATGTTCAAATTGAGATTTTTTATTTTTAAAGGTACAAATTAAAATTCGAATAATCTTTCGGAGTGTAATTTGTAATTAATCCAAAAAAAAAAATCTACTAAAAATGACTTCTTCATGTATACCAACGGAAAAATAGCACCGGCCAACTAAAAGTGGCGGGTCTCATGCTCCACTAGCACATCTTCAAATCTCCCGTATCCGATCTTGGATCCACCGTGACCCACCACTTTGATAACCTTTGTATGGTTTTTTTTCTTTTCCAAGAAAATTCGTCTCCGAGGTACACCAATCCCTTTAATCACCAGGATAACAGCTTCACCTTTTCCAAAGCATTTGAAAGATTTCAAATGTTTTGGATGGGTGGGTTCAATTCAAAAAATTGATATGACCTAATAATTCAAAAGATCATACATATTTTAATTATAATTGTTTAAGTTTAATTTGAATTGTGTAATATTATTTTTTTAGATATGTCTCGCTTCATATTTAAAAGGATGATATCCATCAATTTCTTCTTCCATTATTGAAAAGGGGAACTTTAAAAAACTTTCAACTTCCATACGATAAGTAATGATAGAGAAGTGAAAAAAGTTTACCCACTGATCCCTTGAAACGACTCAACTCTGGACTTAAGCTTATCATGATGAAAGTCATCTATCACATGAAATAATAGCACTTTCTTTGTAAATAATTGGTAATTAGTATGAGTATCTTGGTCTTTTTAATGGGTGGTGTCTTTCTCGTCTTAAAATCTCATAGTGTGAACTGAAGACTTAGAAAGTTATAAATCGAGTACTTGTCATCAGATTTCTCTTTTACTTTTTCTTTTTTCAATCATAACCCCACTATGTTTAATGTGATATTAGCTAGATGTGGTGGCCATTGCAATAGTCTGGTCTTCAGGTTTTTGTTTGTTTACATTCTTCCATTTATCAATGGTACTAAACAAAGCTTAAAGATAATATCCTAGTGAACTTAGAAATATTGGGATGGATTTATCATATTTTATGGTACGACTCCATATTCCAATTCTATCTCACTACATTTTTGGACCCTAAACAAACACCATTTTTTTTTACTTTAGCGAGATCTACAACTAATTTCTCATCCATAGATTTAGTTGTAAGTTGGTACGAGTGTCGGGGGTTGCGGCGAGCAATCCTTGGGACAACTTGACCTGCCTAGATATTATTCTATAAATACCCGCATTATTTATCGTTACGAGAGATTCATTATTACTTGGCTAATGAGATGAGAGCACTTACTCTCTCCATCTACCCTCTGTCCAATTGGTTGATTTTTTTCTAAATAGACTACTTGAGCTCTTTTCATGCAACCCACTTATCCTATTCATGCCTTCAAATATTCTTGATATAGACACTTGCGTCAGTCTGGTTTAACTCTCCACCTAAAAAGTGGAAATGAAAATTCTTCTTTTTCGCATATTTTTCGTCGCAAGTTTCCCGAGTCACCTCCACCCTTTTGTAAAAATAGTATGGTGGAATCAAATCCAAACTAGTTGCATTCTAATAGCTGTTTTTGAGCCCATTACCATTTCATACTGATTTTTATACTTGACCCATTATGAGATTCGAGCTTTTTATAGTTTCAAAGCCTGTACTTTCTGTCTTTAATCCCTAAAAATTATAGACCAAATTGTTCTTAGAATTTTTCAATGCAACTAAAGTTAAAAAGTCAAAATTTTCAACATAATACCATATTAAAAATAGATTTTATTCTTTATACATATTATATCTTTTTGTCTATTTTTGACATAAACTCATCTTTTTCTCTATTTTCTCTACCTATATAATTAGAATATTTTTCAATTAGGAAAAATTTTGAGGGGAAAATTGGAACAATTGAAAATTATAATTGTATATTTTTTTTGTAATCAAAGCGTCAATCCAATTATTTTTTAATTTAGTCCACAATCCAGGAGGGTTAAATGCAGCTTTTGAATCAAAGGAGAATATGTATTTTACACACAATTAACGAGAAGTTGTAAATTATGTTTTTTAGACAGAAATTGCCATAACATTAATAATATTTTTGGATTATAACATTTTCCGGAAAGTAAAGATGAATTGCATATCAAAAGAGATACAAAAGCATGAGCATCCCCATGATATTACAGAGTATGAAAAAGCAAATCTATGGGAGGTGTGAGCAAGTAGCTACACCTCAGACAGATTTGTCAAAAAGAAAGTTTTCATAAGAAATTGATGATGAAACTGAAAAGTTACACAATACAGTTGTTTAGGAGTTGTAGTTTTTCAAAAATGACGAGATTCAGCTGAGAACTTTTGAATTTCAGATATGCAAGTCTGTCCCTTATCATTTGTAACATGACTTTGAAGATAGTGCTTGAGTCCTTTGCGCAGCTGAGAGACACAACTTTTGAAGGATTGTGAATAATGACTTCCCTTTCCGGTGATGTGCAGCCCATGAGACAAAAGTAGTCCAAGGCATGCATTGCCAAGAAAAGTTAAAGTGTTGGATGAGTAAGCTCCAGACTCTTTTAGAGTATTGTCACTCAAAGAACAAGTGAAAATGAGACTCAATATCTTCATCACATAACACACACTCCAGGTCTTGGTAAGGGACATAAACATGAATTTTGTCCTTTGTTTTGAGCCTCTATCTGATTGCAATCCAAAGAATGAAACTTAGTTTAGGAACAAATTGACTATACCAGACAAGTCCATGCCAAGGCACCACCTCAACCTTTGTTCTAAGATGTTCCCATGCAGATTTTGAAGAAAAGGAACCACCGGAAGTGACGTACCACTCGACTTTGTCAAAAGCATTCTGGTTTGGCAAATAAAGGGGCTTGGAGTTTGAAATTTCCAAAGCTTCCCATGATGGATGTGGTGGCCATCTCCATTGATTGCTTTGAATGATGGTGTTGACTTTTGTTGCCCTTGAGGTGTTTGTGGACTAGAGGATGCTCTGATCATATATTTGAATCAAAGGCCCAAGTGGATGCCAATTGTCAAGCCAAAGAAATGTGCCATTTTCATTCCCAAATTTGTGGTGGAGGAAAGGTCCGAAGGCTTCCCTCATCTTAAACAAATTGAGCCAATTCCATGAGCAGCATTGGGGAGTCTTGACATCCACAGAGATTTCCCTTTTAAATGAAAAATGTGGATCCACTTGACCCAGAGGCTGTGTTTATCATGGAACAACTTCCAGAGATATTTGTTTTTTGTATACAATTATATTTTATTGGTTTATAAAATACTATTACTAAAAAAATTAAAAATTAAAATTAAAAATTATTCTTAAAAGTAACAAAACATTTTGTTAGATAAAAAAAATATTATCTTTTAGTCAATATACAAATAGATCAGGATACTTACGTCTGATTTCCTCAATCCAAAAATAAAACATTTATTTTGGTGGGTTAATAAATCACTAATTTATTGAAAAAAAAAAGACTAAAATTATTATTGAAGTTTTCAAAAATTTAGGGGACAAATATAATATAAACATAAAGAAGGGCACGTGTTACACTCAAATAAATAAACTACAGTTTTGAACCATACTGATGTGTGCATATGATAGGACGATTTCATCAAACGCCTCCAATGTTATCAACTTATCATCATCCTCATATGCAATTGAGCCAACCATGCCATCTTTGAATTTAGATACAACAAAAAAGTTGGATGCACAGAAGGGCGGAGCCAAGCCTGTTCCATGGTTGGCAAGTCCCCCGCCCCCGTGGCGATGTATATTGTATAAGAGTAATGCTAGATGAATTTAAAAATTAGACTTGATAATTTTAACTATTGAATAGGTAGTGGATTCCAATAAATGCTGAGACTTATAGTGAAATCAATGGTTGAGATTAACACATACACACAGTACACAACCTGAATGCCACTCAACCATAGCGTCACAGACTAGAAGATTACACACAGGAGATATCACTTCCATACTACACTGTACTATCATAGATTGAGGAGGCCCATTGATATTCTTTTGTACCACCGGCTGTGTTTTTATTGTTCTACCCTCGCCACAATTGTCCCAAAGGTCCAGACCACTGGTGACTGGTCCTCTGCAAGGACTGACTGTAGATCATATTCATCTTCACAGAGCATGCCAAGCTAACCTTCAAAACTAAACCCAAACACTCCTTCATTTTGTTTGTTCTTCTTCGACACTGCCCAGGAGAATTTAAGTATTAGTGCTGTAAAAGTTTGTCCCTGACAGATTCCAACTCATGGACAACATTACTTATATCCATCCGCTCTTGTGGTGACTCCATGGAGCATGCCACTCCAATCTTCACAACCGAAACCATAAACTCCTTCATTTTGTTTGCCCTATTTTGACATTGTCTGGTCATGTTTTCTGTCGCATCTACCTCTTCTTCATTGTTATTTAGAAGCACTTGATCCAGGATCTCCATCACATTATCTGGTATGGCCATCCTAGCAAGGCTATGAAGATTAATGCCATCCCGAAACATACCATCAGTTGGCCTCCTTCCTGTCATTATCTCCAATAAGCAGATGCCATAGCTATAAACATCTCCGTCGGTAGATATTTCACTTCCGAGACCATACTCTGCATTAGTAAGGTATTGCATTAGGTAAGGAGAAGTCCAGGCCGGGCTCTTGAGCAAAAAGTTTGACAGCTATGACAATATTGGGATCAACATTTGAAAGAAAAATACTAAGTATTGTGATTACCTGGAGCCGTGTATCCAATAGTACCTCTTATTCCATTCGAACTGCTTTGAAATGTATCTGTGAGTCTGGGATGAAACCTCGCCAATCCAAAATCTCCAACATGGGCAACCATATCATGGTCAAGAAGTATATTGCTAGGCTTCAAATCACAATGAATGGTTGTCTTCTGGCAATGGTTATGAAGATAGTCAAGTGCGCAAGCCACATCAAAAGCTATGTTTATTCTTTGAAGAAGACTTAAGCTTGGAATCCTATTCTGTGCATTATTCGTTTCTGTACTCAAGTGCAACCACCTTTCTAGACTACCATTAGGCATGAATTCATACACCAGAGCTCTAAAATCATTTCCTTGAAAGTCAACACTTGAGCAAGACGTTATGATCTTTAAAAGATTTCTATGTCGAATATTTCTCAAGGTCTCACACTCAGCCATGAAACTCTTGGAAGCTCCATGGCGCAAAAGGTTAAATACTTTTACAGCAACAGTCGATCCTTCTTGATCAAAGATTCCCTTATACACATAACCAAAACTACCAGCACCAATCAAATTGTCTGGAGAAAATCCATTGGTTGCTTTGAGGAGCCTTTGGTAGGATACTCTTAAGAATTGTTCCTCCATCTGTGATCCTGTAGATGGAGCTTTTCTTTTCTTCTTTACCCAACAAAATACGAAAGATGATATCAAGGTTATCCCAACAAGAATAGAAGCTACCGAGATAATTAATATATGTGCAAGAGACATCTTCACTTCCTTTGATTTTTTAATGGCGCATCTAGGTAGCTTTAGTTCAGAAATACCACCACAAATTCTACTATTGCCAGCAACTGATATAACGCTTGCGTTTGTGAAAACTCCTGTGATTGGCACCTCACCTTCAAAATTATTAAACGACAAATTCAAGCTTGTCAAAGCAATTTGCCCCAAGAATTCTGGTATTTGTCCAGTTATGTTGTTGCGAGAAAGATCAAAGACCCGGAGGCCTTTCAAAGCCCTTAGTGATGCAGGAATTGACCCGTGAAAAGAGTTACCCTCCATATGTAAAAATTCAAGGCTAGTGCATTTGCTCAGGCCATTTGGAATGTCACCAGACAAGTTATTTATAGATATATCCAATGTAGCTAAGTTTATGAGGTTATCAACCTCTGATGGCAGGGTTCCACTTAGATGATTCTGTGATAGGCTTAGTTCAATGGATAGAGATGAAAGTCGAAAAATTTGTATGGGTATTGTTCCACTAAGATTGTTTTCGAAAAGTTCTATAGTCAACAGTTTTTGGCAATTTCCTAGACTCGAGGGTATAGTCCCCTCTAATCTATTATTCCCCAAGTAAAGTCCAAGTAACAATGACAAGTTTCCTATGGAGTTTGGAATTTTTCCAGAAAAATCATTTGTGTTAAGAGCCAGTCTTTGTAACTTCTTGAGATTGCCAATAGCAGTAGGAATTATACCTCTGAATGTATTATAATACAACCATAAAGTACGTAAGTTTTCAAGGTTACATATTGTGGAAGGAAGAGTTCCAAACAAAAAATTTTGGTCAACTAACAAAACAACGAGTTTGGACGAGAGATTGCCAATAGAATTTGGTAGAATCCCTCTCAATAGGTTGGCTGTTAGCTCCAAATATTCCAAATTGCTACAGTTGACCAGAGAACTCATGAAATTCATTTCATCAGGTTCCCCACTTCCCAACTTATTGTAATACAACAATATACGCCGAATATTCTTTAGGCCTCCAAAATTGATTGTTATTTTTCCAGTGAAATTGTTGAATCCCACTTGAAGGGTTATCAATTCCGATAAATTGGATATTGAGAGGGGGAGCACTCCAGTAAAAAAGTTACGACTGATTTCAAAGATTTGAAGATGGGGAAGCATCATACCTATGCCTGGTTGAAGACTACCATGAAGCTGATTATCAGACAACGAGAGCACCGTTAAGGTGGAAAGATTATAAATGGAAAAAGGGACCATACCAGATAGGCTATTCTCACCCAATCCAAGTTCTGTCAAGTTTCTCAGTTGGCCTAAGGCATCTGGAATAGCTCCCTCCAAAAGATTGCAAGATGCAGACAAAGTTTTCAGAGATGAAAGATTCCCGATGAAGGATGAGAGCTCTCCTGTAAGATTGTTGACATGAACCGCAAGATATGTAAGCTTTGACAAGGAACTAAGCTCTGTTGGAATTTTTCCAATTAGATTATTATAGGCAACGCCAATGTGTTTGAGTTCAAAGCAACGTGAGAGGGTGGCAGGAATTCCTCCTTCAAAGCTGTTATTGCCCAATCTCAGTTCTCGAAGCCTGAAAAGACGACCAAGTTCGGGAGGGATTTCACCTTTAAAGGTATTGTTGTAGAGTCTCAAGCCCCGAAGGAAGCTGAGATTCCCCACGTAAGGAGACAAGGTGCCCACTAAGCCTCTGGATCCTACATCTATGACGGTGACTCTACTGTGCAGGCGACCGCATGTAACACCATCCCACTCGCAGAAATGGAAAGAATCATTCCAGGAGCTCACAACACCTTGAGGGTCATACATGATCTTTTGCTTGAAGGCTAGCAGGGCAAGCCGATCCGTCTCGTTTCCACCAGTGCTCTTAATAGCAGTAGCAATGAGGGGTGTGGGTGTTATAACATGCAGCAATATAACGAATGCAAAACATACTTGTTGTACATGAAAGGAATGGAATGATGATATAGATGGACTCATTTTTCAAAAGCTTTTCTTAAACTTTGCTGGCTCTTTTTTTTTTGGGTGTGAGCTTTGCTGCGAATTCAATCCATTATATATGCAGTCCAGGGGAAGGAATCTGTGGGGCACTGAAGAATGGGGCATGCATGTTAGTCTGTAGGCTTGCGACGACTTACTATTGCTCGTCCTTATATACGTCATTATTCAAGTAATAATACTATTTAAATTTAATTTTTTGACCTAATTTATCTCTGACATTCAATTACTAGCGGGTCTCAATTGGCAACAGTGACCATAATTTGGATTTAACTGCAAATGAATCGAGTTGCTTATGAATAGATTTAAGGATTAACTCTTAGGCTAAAACTCTTAAAATGGCTGTTTATGGGCCCCAAAATTTTAAGACTTCAAATGAGACCCAAGTTCAATGAAACCCCAAAATTTTGGTTTTAGGGTGTCTAATAAATATTTTAGACCAAGATTCAGTTTTTAGGAGCTCAATCAAGATATATATGTATATGCATACATATATGTGTAGGTGTATATAAATTGAATGGAATGACGATGAATTCATCTTTGAAAATCTTTTCCATAGTGGATGTGCTGTTTTCCATATCTGAAAGCTTCCAGAATGTGGAGGTATCACATCATTTGTAATGTGTTGGAAAATATAACATGCACCATCATACTCTTGAGCTACTGAAGAATCCAAACATACTGTTGCTCGTCCAGATTCTACCATCATTGTTCGACTTGAGTGGCTAGTGAAGGGAAAAGGGCCGGAAGTGCGTTTGATCGTGATCCAAAAATAGTTTTCGAATATCAATTACAATACACCGCTGCACATAGTCTTCTACTACAGTTTAAGCCCCTTTCGTTGATGTCTCTCAGATTTAATCGATAACTGTATTGTGTGGATGATTGCAGAGATGCAGCCTTTACTCTGCACGTTTCTTCACGGGCTATACTTTTGTCATACAAGTTTAAGACGAACATAAGGAGTACTAGATGCACTGCTTCTTGTTAGTATTCTGCAAAACAATTACTTAATCAGACTTTTCCTAACCGGTCAAACACTCGGTCTAATTCTTTGTAAATGTCTTTCAGGCAGTGGATGTTTTCCTTATTGAAAACAAAAGCGGTAACAGGCCTTCTTTAATAGATCAACAAACCGTTCTTTTTGATTTGACGTCACACAGATTTCGACTATGGAATACGGTTTGAGACCCTTGATTCCTTCATTTGTTTGTTGCATTTCCACCAGAAAAGAAAGAAGGTGAGGCTATGGAATAAACGAAACAATCTACCTTTATAAACGATGGATCTGGCCACGTCAAGGTAAAGTGATTTTTTGTCAACCCACAGGAAGGTAAAATTGTGTTCCATCATTTGCAATATGATGATCATAGTATTTATCTCAATTTGAAGGTTTTGCCACTGGTTTAACCAAACACAGTTTCGTAACTTTGACCAACATAATTTTTGTACCGGATGTCACATTCACAAGGGTTGTGGAATTTCATGTTACACCTACCGATTAATTATAATCCATAAATTTTGAAAATCTGAATACATTTTTTCCAACAGGATATTTTGAGAAGAAACATATATGGGAAGGGAAACTTCCAACTATGATCCCTCAACACTTGCAAGTAGGATAGGCAGCTGCCTACTAACATCAGTCAAGACATAAGTGCTCCATAGTTGAGAATGGCCAGGACCATTTCACTTACATACACACCATCTGTTCAAAAACAAAAAAAAATGTCTATTTGTAATGACACACTTACATTAATGACAATATATTAAGTAACTCCCCTAAACTCTCCACTAAACCCTTTATATATTTTTACGTTGTGAAGGCAAATCCTTTGCTTATTTCCCATCCCGTGTTTTTCATAACAAAAATTATTTGGAATAAAAAGTGGCTGATAAAGTGGATGGATTCTTTTGTGCACACCTGTTTTATTTTTAAGAATAGAAAGTACATCCCATTATGTTTTTTTTACTTCAACTTTTCCATCTATTCTACTATAAGTGATCTAATAAAGCTTAAATTCAAAAGCTTCAAGGGAGGCCATGCCCATTAACATCATTTTTTACAAAGAAAAGTGATTACTAACAATGATCCACTAAACGTCCACTAAGCCCTCCATCAACCACTCCACTAAACCCTTTTGGCAATGTTTTCTATCAAGAAAAATATTATATGGAATAGTAAGAATTCTAAGGCTTCCATCATCCAACGGCAGAGGTATAATATTTGTTCATAGTATCACAGTTGCGATAATCACATTGGTAACAAGCTTGGTACTTGAAATCCAGCACGAGATTTACCCAATCATAGTCCCCAAGACAATTTCCGAATACCATTTACAATGTGCCCTGCCACATAATCGCAATAAAGCCTATTTAAATTTGATAGTCGAGGACTTTTCTATATAATAAAATAAAATATAATTCAAATTTTAAAAATAAATAAAATAACTTTTGTTTTATGTGATTGAGATCTCTTTAAATTTTATTTTAAAATTAATCAGACAATTAATATTAACACTCCAAATTTAATAGGGAAAATAGGTCCTTAAGAGTATGTTTAAAGTGATTTTTAAAAGTGTTTGTAGTTAGGGGTGTCAAACGTGTCGAATTAAACGGTTACATGTTGAGTTAAGCAGATGACGGGTGAAAAATATATAAACCCGTACACGACACGTTTAATAAACGGATAAAAAATCTTAACACGAACACGACTCATTTAATAAACTAATAACACTACAAAACTAGTTTAATTTTAAAAAAATTATATTAACAAATTTTAATACTCAATTTGTTTTTATTGTCAATTGCACTTATCTCAAAAAAGAGGAATTTTTAGTCAAATCTCATAAAAATAAGACTTGAAATCTTAAAAAATAAATGTAAGAGGTCATTGTTTTTTATAAGTAACTCAACCCTCCCCATCTCCCTTCATTTTCCAATGTGGGACAAAAATAAAAGACATTGATTTGTCTTTGTCTTTGAAATGTTCCTTATCTCTTTTCTTTTGTCTTTGAACAACTACTTTACTTCTTTTTTTTATTGATTTATTTAATTTTTTTTTCTTGCTAATTTTTTAAAATAATTAAAAATTTATTATTATATAAATTTTATTTAAACGAGTAAACGTGTGATAAACGATTTGACAAGTCACATCTGAACACGACTCGTTTCTTAAACGTGTTTGGCGTGTCAACCCGTTTATTACCCAAATCCGCTTAATTCATGTCGATTCGTGTCAGTTAATCGTATCGTGTCAAATTTTGACAGCCCTACTTGTAGTATTTATAACTTCTCATAACTACTTTTTTAAAAAAAATAGTGTTTGGATCAGCACCATCCCCAACAACCCCCACTGCCCCAAACCACCACCCCCACCACCACCACCGTAACCACCACAACCCCCATCGTCTCGCCCCACCATCCCCACTACCACCACCCCAACCGCCCTATCACTACCACCATCACTACTATAACTACTGCAGCAACCTTATCACCACCACCACTCTACTATCATCGTCATTGTCTCATCATCACCCCTACTACCACCTCCTCTAAGACCATCACCACTACCACCATCGTCCCACCCCTATCACCATTGTCGTCGTTGTCATCCTAATCACTGTCACTGTCCCACCACCACACCAACCACCGATTACTACCACTGTCATTCATTATCACCATTCACCATCATCGTTATTTAATTTTATATTTATTACCACTATCACGATCATCCCACTACTATTGTCACCCATCGTCAGCACCCACCACTACCACAAGCTACCACTACCTATCGTCGCACACTACTGTTGCCACCCAATATCACCCATCTCCACCACACCTACAATGTAATACCCGAGGAAAAAAATTAAATAATAATAATAAAGTGAATAAATTAGATTTGAGAAGTTTTAGACTTTTGTTTGACTCGGGGTCTATCCATATAATTTTATAGATATACTTTGAAAGTCAATAGAGATAATTTAGTTTTTTTGGTGTAGGGAGAAATATCAAATAATTATAGAGACTTATTAGGACTATTATACATATGATTTAAATAGAATAGTATTGTTGGATAGGTCAAACACTATATATATATATATATAAAGAGAGGTTCAAATTATTTTGAGACAAAATATAAATACATTCAACGGACAACGTAATCCCAACATAAAAGATAGTTCATATCATTTCATCAATATTGATCCAATAGTATACAATGAGTACAAAATTTTGTTTTTCTGCCCAAAATTCTCTTTTCAAATTTTGTAATAATCACGTCTCTATCTCTCCCTCTCGAATCTATCCAAATCTCTCAATTTTTGAATCAGATCCAACTAACGCCATAATTTTCTCCCCCTCCATGTTTTCTCTTTATACCGTCTCTCCTTTCTCACTCTTTCTCTGTTTATCTATCTCCACCCCACACTGAAACCACCCAACCTCCAAACTACCCCCCCTGAAACCACCGCAAAAATAACGAACNACCCCAACCGCCCTATCACTACCACCATCACTACTATAACTACTGCAGCAACCTTATCACCACCACCACTCTACTATCATCGTCATTGTCTCATCATCACCCCTACTACCACCTCCTCTAAGACCATCACCACTACCACCATCGTCCCACCCCTATCACCATTGTCGTCGTTGTCATCCTAATCACTGTCACTGTCCCACCACCACACCAACCACCGATTACTACCACTGTCATTCATTATCACCATTCACCATCATCGTTATTTAATTTTATATTTATTACCACTATCACGATCATCCCACTACTATTGTCACCCATCGTCAGCACCCACCACTACCACAAGCTACCACTACCTATCGTCGCACACTACTGTTGCCACCCAATATCACCCATCTCCACCACACCTACAATGTAATACCCGAGGAAAAAAATTAAATAATAATAATAAAGTGAATAAATTAGATTTGAGAAGTTTTAGACTTTTGTTTGACTCGGG